TGTTTCTTGCTCCCCTTTGTAGCAGAAGTAATGTTGTGAGATTAAAAAAAAAGGGGGGTTCTCCCAATTAACTAATCAGGAGTTTGTCTGAGTCCAGATGGTTTGGCTTCCTGTCTTCAGATTAGCCCATTTCTTGCTAATCATACCCCTCAATGAAAAAAATTGGTGGAGCTCTCCATTGCCCCAAGGGCTGTATGTTTTGTTGTCAAGTGCTACGGGTTCCTCACCTCACAGTTTGCTTCCTTTATCTCATCTGTGTCTCAGTCTTAGAAAGGAATGATAGCTGGAACATTCTTGCGGGTTTTTAAGGGCTACATCCATAAAACAAATGGTCAAATGACCCAACTCTCAGAAGAAAGTTGTGTACAGTAAGGAAGCATGAAAGAAAAAGTGATTCCTAGACTGAAACTTATAAGGAATCGTGGACCAGTAACATCTGGAGCCAGAAAACAATATCTTAGATTTTTATCGATTTCCAAATTCTGTGGCTCTGCACCGCACAGGTTGGAATCTGCAATAATGAGCAAACAAAACATAATCCTTCAGATTGTTATTTTCTAATGTGTATTTGTTCATTTATGATATTTGTAGGTTGGCTTATAAAAACATTTCCTGAATTGCAGACACTTTTGAGTCTGATCTGTATTCCACAGTTACTTATTTTTGATCTGAATTCTTCTTGTTTTATAACATACACTTTTTAAACACCCTGTACTCACTCACTTCAGCTTACTATACGTATCTTCTGACATATCCAGTTCTCACATCTATATGACAACTTGAGCTGAAGCAGGCATAGATGCAGAACCATCTGTTCTTTTTTCAACAAACATTTATTCCTCCACCAGACCATACACTATTCACCACCTTTCTACCAGCATCTTTATGTCTTAATTTTTTTCCATCCATTTCCCTATCTTTTTGTAACATTCTACCAAGATGCACAAATGTATCTCTTTGCTCTAGTTTTTCTTCATTCATTCCATTTTCCCTTTCAGACACAGCTATCTTGATGTTTGGTACATTAATTTTCAGATCTATATCCCTCACTGCATCACACAGTACTGTCCCAGTAACATTCACTACAAACCATTCAGCTTCTCAGTCAACAACACGGCATTCTCTGCAGACAAACATTCACATACAATCCCATTTCCAACCAACACACTCCTAATGTCACTTCTAATGTGCAAGCATTCCTTATGCATTTGTCCATAAATATATTAAACAAACAAGAGAACATCACACATCCTTATCTTACTCCCTAAGCCATCGGCAAGTATTCATTTTATTTTCATACATGCTTTTTTTCATCATACACTATTCTTATTACATTTAGCAACTAACCTTCAGTTCCATTCTCATGCAAAACATTCTATAATTTAATTTTTTAAAAATTAAGTCTATTCACTTACTCACTCTATTCACTTAATCACTCTGCCAAGACCTTCACGGCACAGGGTCAGACTACTTAAGGGATTGCCTATCTTCAGTGGTCTCTGCCCATCCAGTAAAATTGGGCAGAGTTGGCGCACTTTAGATCCCTTCAAACAATGCCAGCTATCAGGACCTAGCAGGTATGCCTCCTCTGTTACGCCACCTGCCCTGTGGAATGTGATTCTCCACCCCCCCGATTCATGTGGAAACTCCAGCTTCCCCCCAGGCTCCCATCCTGATGGGGTTTCAGAGGCCTTTAAAAACTTGGCTGTTTTCCCAGACCTTGGAGTAGGGTAGTAGTAGAGTCTCTGTTGGTTGGGGTAGTTTGTTTTGGTACAGATGTGGTCCCTTTGATATACAGGGTCTTTATTTCTGTTATTGTTTTCTACTCAAGCTGTATGAATGTATTGTGTACTCTCTTACCTGTTTCCAATATCAACATTGCTGCACAAGTGGCTGTTGTTCCATGGAAGATGTTCGGTTTAAGAACACCTGAATGAAGACTTGTAAGCAACCATTATGTTCTCACATTTTACTTTCAGGGTCTCACTGCCAACAGTATCTGTTACCTATTTGTAGTCCTGTTTAATGATTTTATACTGTACTGTGTGAGGGGGAGAAGGCTATTGCTTCATTGGATTCACATGTATATACAAGAGTCTGACATTATCTATGAAAAGTTATTTTGGAAAAT